AATAGTACAAAGCTTTAACAGATACAGGTCTCTCTCTCTCTCTCTCTCTCTCTCGTGACATGTTACAATCAGCATGTAAGAAAGCTGATAGTCGACCAGGTTTGCTTACTTGGGAACTACCATATATGTACTTTCCTGAATCGCATGAAAGAAATTCTTTTAAGGTTTTCTACCATTTTTGTGATGATGTTAAAGGTAAGCAACTGAGACCAGAACTAGAGATGCCTTGTACAATTTTTATATTTGAAATGCTCCCTCAATCCCGGAAAAAGACGAACTTTATAGTTTGTTTGTTGCAGAGGAAGCATCTTCTTTAGAATTTGACGTCTAGACAAATTCAATGTTAATAAATTGCCTTTGTGATTTTGAAGATTGGATATAAAATCATTTTGTTAATTTGTATTTTACGTAGGGTGAAGTTGTTCAAGAAAATATTTGGAATTCAGTTTAACTTTTGAAATAGTCTTCATGACCTCCTACAAAAGCGAAAAATGAGCAAACTCTTTTTCTGTTTTCACTCGGAAGGAAGTCATAAAGATTAAGGCACTACAGATAACTAAATGCCTGGGCTGCAGATCCATGACCTAGAGGCCTCCTCTAGATCTTGTTTCGTTCTTCTTACTCATGCTTTCCTCCTTCCTAGGGTTGGCATTTTGGTTTACTTGCTCTTTGGATAATATGCTTCTTACAATCCAGGTGAGGCTAAAACTACCTCCTCTAGATCTTGTTTCGTTCTTCTTACTCATGGTTTCCTCCTTCCTAGGGTTGGCGTTTTGGTTTACTAGCTCTTTGGATAATACGCTTCTTACAATCCAGGTGAGGATAAAACTAGTAATTTTGGCTGTATCTTGTGTTTGCTTTTAATCAGATAATGGTAGATGGGAAGTTATAATACCTAAATTACCAACTATGTGCCCAACTCAATTCATGATTCATGTTCAATTAATCATTCTCCAAGACTTTTTAGGAATCTTGGTCAAAGTATTGATCCTCACGGTCTAGGTTATTGGCTTCATTTACTCTTTTAAGGAGTGGAGAATGATGATATTATTTACCTAAAATTTATGGTCATAGCCATTCGGAGAAGCTTATATCATGGTAGGGAGCAAAAGACGTTTTTTGTACTTGAAGACCTCCTTTAAGATCTGCGAGTTTTTGAGAGAAAAATATATTATAACTTATTCTACAATATCTTAATTACAGCTGCTATTTATGAGAGAATAACAACCACTTTCTATATTCTAGGATCCTAAGATTAATAAAACTCTACTTTAGTCGACTACATAGAAAGACAAAAATACCTAACCTAGTACTTGTTCAATAGAATAAAAGACCCCATATAGGACTCTAATTGTTTATAATTCGACACTCCCCCTCAACCTAGGTTGTACAGATTGTACATACCGACCTTGCACCTCAACTAATCAAAGCTAGCCTTGGAAGAGCTTTAGTCAAGATATATGCAATTTGATGCTTAATAGTTGTGAAGACAAGTTGTACGACGTCATTTTCTATCTTCTCTGAAATAAAATGTCGATCAATCTCTATGTGTTTGGTTCGGTCATGATGAACTGGATTATTGGCAATGCTAATAGTATCTTGATTATCAAATATCATTGATGGATCTGTTTTAGATTAACCACAAGTGTACATGATGCCGTAGAGTACCGGTCGCACACAGGGAGACAGTAATCGGATACCAACCAATTCCAAATTATGAGTTAGCTGCACAAATGGAGAAGGAAACTGAGATCAGAAATCATCAATACACAAACTGAGATGAACTATAAATTCCATCCAACAATCGACTAAACATAGATAAGGATACAGATAACACTCATTTACCTAAAGCCCTCTTTCGAGGTGTTAAAGGCCTATCTATCATATATTGTGTTTACTTTCCTAAGAGTTCAACATGACATGCAATAAGCTTAAGCCACAATAGTTCTCAATTGATACTACCGCCTATTTTCGTAGGGGGATTTCAATTCAGAGTTTAGGTTAACGAATTTCATATTCAACTTCTGCTCGATCATGAAGGAACTAGGAAGAGAGAATTAATTCTAATCATTAATTGTGAAACAAATCCTAACTTTCACTAGTGATTTAATTCCTCATAAACACAATTGCTTTGAACCATTTTAACCAACCTAACTGTAACCCTGATAATGTTTAACTGTAACATGCCATGAAGCTATAGGAGCGAGTGATCGAGGCCAAATTGCGGCATGAAACGGGGGTGATGAAAAACCACTTCCGGTTCATGTGAGGGAGGTAAAAAATGGATGCAATCCACCTCCTGGACCCCTCAATAAAGAAATATAGAGTGCGTAGTAAGATAGGCATAGTGTTTGTAGACCTCTCTGGTACCCTTCTCTCCTCTAGGCTCTTTAAGACAATGGTAACAGACGAAAAGAGTTGTGAACTCTAAGTAAGAACAATGGAGGGAGGCATTGTAAGCAAAATGCTTGTGCGTTAGCTGCTCAAAAACACCTATGGTTCTCTTTCAGTATAGAGTGTAATGACGAGGGTGTTGAAGTCCACATTCGGGAACAAAAGGTGTCCTAGATGGATGGTTTCAGGTATTTATGCTCCATGATTCAAAATGAGAGAGATCTCAAAGAACTTGCGGAATCCTTGCTACTTTCATGGGATATATTCAAAAAACTTTTTGACAAGGGGGTAGAGGTCAACATTTTTTTCAAAATTCTTGCATCCTTCAAAAAAAACTTTTTGACAGATCTTGTTTCTTCAAAACTTATTTGCAAATTGGGGTTGTTAGCGCAACAACCTCTCTACCCCTTGGGGTAGAGGATATGTCTGTCAGTCTGCATACATACTATTCTACCCTCGAAGCTACTTTCGTGGGATATCTTGGGTATGTAGTATGTTTGATAATTTGGTTTACCTATGTTACAACCCAATTCAAGATGGGCGATCTCCAGAAGATGAGACTGGAACTGCTCTCTTAACTTCCAAAGAGAAACCATACAAGCTTTTTAATACTATAACTCCTAAATATTCTCCTAACCAACCTACCATCACTTAAGACAACTTAACTTCCTACGAGACTTCACACTTTATGCATGCAAACTAAGGGCCTGTTTACCAAATTTTCTATTAAGTTCTGTATGGATAAATTTGTCTTTCTAGATAAATTTTTCTGTCTGGATAAATTTATGTTGTTGTTTACTTTTCTATCTGAATCAATAGTCTGAATAACATAAATGACTAATTTACCCCTAAGAGAATGAAATCGATAAAACAGAAATCAGCTAGGGTTTCTTTCTAGCAGCAAAGAAATCAAACACAAGCATGAAATCGAACAAACTCATGAAATCGAACACAAGCATGAAATCGAACACAAGCAAGCAAACAGAAATCGAGCAAACTCATGAAATCGAACACACTCATGAAATCGAACNCATGAAATCGAACACAAGCAAGCAAACAGAAATCGAGCAAACAGAAATCCAACAAACATGAAATCGAACAAACTCATGAAATCGATATGGAACTTGAAGTCGATTTGTCGATGGAGAAGAAGAGAGCGTCGACTGTCATGGAGAAGAAGAGAGCAATCGGGCCGATTAGGGTTCTTTGGAGGAGAAGAGGGCGACGATGGTACCCAACAACAATCGGCCGATTGTCGATGTAGATGAATATTCACAAAAACAAMAATCGATTTGAAGCAAGCAGATCGTTGAGGAAGAAGATACCTAGGGTTTCATGTCCAAGGGTAATCGGCCGATCGTTGAGGAAGAAGATACGCTAGGTTTCATGTCCAAGGGTAATCGGGTCTTTTTTTGGGCTTAATGGGGACAAGTGTTGTTTTTGATCTGTGCGAATAAGCCCAAAATAAACACATCATTTTGGCTGTGCGAATAAGCCCGTTTATCCGGTAAGCTCATTAAGCCACAAGTAAACAGGCCCTAAGACTCATGCATAAATATGGCATAATAAGGAAATAGAAGAAATAGAAACAGCAGCTAAACAATAAAAACAGATGCTAAACGTCCATGTTCGTATCAACCTGTATAAACTTTCAGCTACAGGCATCCAAGGTGCATGTTGTAGAGCACACACTTTCACATAGTACAACTATTCATGCATGATTTGAATGCTACTGCTGACAATTTGTGAAGTGAGTACTGTCTATTTACTCCCACAATATTCTTTCATGCTATTGCTTATTATATTTTAATGGGTAGTCAAATGCTTTATGAATTTGTTGGTTTGTATCTGGGACAATTGGAGGTTACTTTCTTTCTTCAAATATCTTTTCACGTAGTCGTCTCTACTTCTAGAGGTCTGCTAGATATCCCTCAACATTGTTTTTCTTGTGAGACTTTATGTTCAGCACAAGATATCTGTGTGTGCTTGTTCATGATTATGTTGTGCTGTCTTATGTCATCTTCTTTTTGGTAAAACCTTCCTATGGAACAACAATGCAATAGCCATTTGTATCTTGCATCACATTTGTGCAGATTTGGGCATTTGCCCATTCCTGCTCCGGGAAAAAGGTCTACCCTTTTTTCAGGGAAAACTAGAGCTATGGTTGCTTCTTTGATGTAAGAATCTGCTGAATTTAGAAGTGGCTGTGCTTTTAATTACTCTCAAGCAGCACTGGTTGGTAACCTTGCATATATATGATCAAGGAGTTATTGGTGGAGGGTAGGCCATGACTGCGGTTTTTGTGCCACTGTCTGCTGGTATGTCATGTTTCTTCCTTGTCAATTTAGTCCTTCGTATTTAGGTGTCATTCATCGACTGTATGCTCACCCATCCATGTTTTTTGTAGTTTTCTTTACATTTCTGTGATTCTTCAAGGTGTCAAAGTCCTCGCCAGTAAATTTATGCTCTTAACATACATTTATGATCATTGCTTACAACCGTTTGTAGACAAGGTGATGCTAACACAAACCACATACACCTATGGAATAAAGATGGTAACATCCTGATCATAGTCTTTGTGTTGACGATCTTATGTTCACCGGAATAATAGCCAACACCCAAATATTGTTGGGCATAATTTGAAATCAAGTTGTAGTAGAAACAATGACTGAATCACACCTTAAATAATCATATGAGGGTGATAAATAAACTATAATCATGTGTAAAACAACATACAACATCTATCAGCCGAACACATGTGCAACCAACATTCAAAAACTCTGATTCTTATTATTTACGGTGATGCTGTTCTTGCTGCTGTAGGTTGATTAGCTTTGAATAAGCCCCGTTTTCGTTCTCAACGAGACTTGAATGAGTCCCTTTCTCCACTATTTTCCCATTTTGGATTACTGATATCTCATCTGCATTCTTAATAGTCGATAGCCTGTGTGCAACCACCACACTGGTTCTGTTCTTCATTAGCCGATCTAAAGCCTGTTGAACCACACGCTCCGACTCCACATCAAGAGCACTCGTGGCTTCATCCAACAGTAATATTGCTGGATTCTTTAGGACGGCTCTTGCTATAGCTACCCTCTGCTTTTGTCCACCTGAAAGTTGAATTCCTCTCTCTCCGACTTTTGTCGAGTAGCCCTCCGGGAGGGAACTAATGAAACTATGTGCGTTCGATAGCTTAGCAGCTTCAATCACTTCAGCTTCTGAGGCTCCTTCTTTCCCGTAAAGTATGTTTTCGAAAATTGATGTTGCAAAAAGAGCCGGTTCTTGCTGGACTAGCCCGATGTGGCTTCGTAGAGACTTTAGCTTTAGCTTCTTAATGTCCTTTCCTGTGAGATTTGAAGATTTTATATATAGATATATACATCACAACGCCATGAAAAATGGGTATTCTTATAAGTTTAGAGAAGCCTACCATCAACCATGACTTTCCCAGAGGTTGGATCGTAGAAGCGGAGAACTAGCGAGAGAACGGAGCTCTTCCCCGAGCCACTTTGTCCCACCAGTGCCATGCTCTTGCCTGCTCGAACCTTCAGATCGAAATCCTTGAAAATCAAGATGTCGGGTCTCGAAGGGTAGCTGAAATGGACACCTTTCAGCTCAATTGACCCTTCCACTCTCGTTATATCCTCTCCGACGTCAGTCACAACTTGTGTTCTCCGGTCGAGAACCTCGAAAACCGAAGCTACCATCTGGTTTCCCTTCAATAAGTCTGGTGCCATTGCTAGCGTTTCACCCATGGCCAACGCGGTTACAATCAGAATCATGAATGATTTCATGACCGATTTGAAGCCTGATAACCCCCTCTCCATCAAAACCGAACCATACCACAACGCAAGGCCGTATGATGAGAATATGAAGAACTGAGATACACCGTAAAACAGGCCAGCAACCTGCCCACGGTTAAACGACTGTTTGGAAGGTCCAACGAGCTCTCGAGAATAAAGATCGAGCACCTTGTTTTCAGAACAAAATGCTGCAACTGTTCTTATGTTACTAACAGCCTCACCAGCAAGCATATTAGCTTTAAGATAAGCTTTGCTCAGATCACCACCATACCCTTTCATGAACATTTTCTGAAAGAAAAAGAAAGTTCATCAGAAATTATGCGAAACTGAAATGAAAATCGGAAAATCGATCAGGAGAAAAGAGATAGAAACCTCGCTTATGTGACCACTAATGATCAAAGGGTACATGGCCATCACGATAAGTGTAAGCCTCCAGTTCAAGATGAAGGCGATGATGAAGGAAGTGCCGATCAACCCCAAATTTTGTATCAGTATCGTTGTCCGATCTACAACAACCGTTCTTAGTAAAGTTGCATCACTTTCTAAACGGGAAGCGAGCATCGAGCTTGTGTTGTTGGTGTCATCGAACCAGCCAATCTCATTTCTCAAAATAGCTGCAAAAATCATATGATTATAAACCAAATCAACCTAAACAAACGCGGTATGTTCCATCCGGAGGTGGGGGCTGAGGGTGAGATGTACGCAGACCTTATCTCTACTCGAAGAGTAGAGTGGCTGTTTCCATGAAGACCCTCGGGAATATTAATGAAAGCATATATCTTGAATTCTGGATGTAGTGATCTTTCTGCCCTTTTTACCTGAAAACATCTTTTGACGAACACGAAGAGTGAGCCTTTCTGCCATGATCCCAAAGCATAGATGAGTGATGGCGTAAACGGTGATACTTACTCCAGCACCTAAGCAAAAGAGAACGGCGATTTTTCTGACCTCATGCTGCGTGGTTTCCCAGTCCATGTAATAAGCCACGAGGGCTTGGCTGATCCCAAGAGCAAAGAGAGGCATCAAGGATCCTGCGATTAGGGCGCCTATGGTGCCCGTTAAGCCATAAGCCCAATCGGGACGGATCATTGAGTATAATCTTTTTGAGGAAACGCGTGGTGCCTTGGCGTATTCAACACCTTCAACACCGAGCTTGCCAACGGATTCTCGATCGGAATGAAAACTAGCCCCTATACTCCGTGTGGTAGTCCGTGATAGCTCGCGAGAAAATTTTAAGCTATATGGGAGGATCGAAAAGAGAGAACATCAGTATTCCGTTAACTCAGCTTATGTTAGCTAAAAAACTAATTATTTTATGTTTGGTAAAAACTAGTTGACAAGTTAAATGACAATATAAAATAAACTAAAAGAACATGCTGAGAAATTAATTGAGAAAATATAAGGATTATAATTAGAAAAAAAAGCCTCTAGAGCTTATTGAAACGTTATTTGAAGTAGTTTATGGTTAACCAAATGAGACTTTTTCAACAAGTTCAAAAATTTATTAGTGACCTTAATTGGATCATGATTTAGTTAATTATCACTTAAGTAGGTAAGAAAGCGTTGATCGCGAACCTGGATGGTCTTCCCATGGATGGAACGCGTGATGGGGCACGATGCAAGGAAGCCGTTTCTTGAAGTTGAACGAGTGATGAATAAGCGCTATCAGGTCGGGACATTAGCTCATCATGGCTTCCGGTTTCGACTATCTTTCCATGTTGAACCACGGCTATCGTGTCTGCATTTCTAATGGTGGAAAGCCGATGGGCAACGATCACAGTTGTCCTTCCCACCATCACACGGTCAAGCGCCTCTTGCACGCTCTTTTCAGATTCAGTGTCGAGGGCGCTTGTCGCTTCATCTAAAAGAAGTATTGACGGGTTCTTCACTATCGCTCGTGATATTGCAATCCGTTGCTTTTGTCCTCCCGATAGTTGTATCCCTCGTTCTCCTACCTGCGTCTCGAATCTCTCTGGAAGATTGTTAATGAACGTGATTGCTTCTGATAACTTTGCGGCATGTGTGATCTCCTCGTAGGTAGCCGAATCCTTCCCGTACAAGATATTCTCCCTTATGGTTGTTGCAAAAAGAGCAGGCTCTTGATTCACCAGCCCAATCTGGTGCCTGAGCCATTTGATGTCGAGTTCACGTAGATTGGTTCCATCTAACAGGATCTGACCAGATAGCGGCTCGTAGAACCGTTCTATCAATGATATAACTGTGCTCTTCCCTGAACCGCTACCGCCAACAAGTGCAACAATTTTTCCGGAAGGTATATCAAGACGAAGTTTGTCAAAGATCATCACATCTGGTCTTGATGGGTAACTAAACTGCACGTCATCAAACCGTATGTGACCATCCACCTTGGCAAGCGTCCGGCCCATTTTCGCACTCGTTTTGGCAACCGTCGTCCTCTCTATCATTTCAAAAATGGGGTATGCCGCCGCCTTGGCCCTGATGAAGGCACTGATGTCCGGTGCCGCCTGCCCAAGCGACCTGCATCGACAAACAACAAAATGTTTGATATACCCATTGTTTTCTCTCGGCATTTCTTGTGAAAAATTCAACAGAATTGGCTTTATAAGACGACAAATATGTCAAATTGTTTTATAGAACTCAAGTTTACAGAACCAAACAGTTTTTTTGGAATGATGCCATAAGTGACACAAAATTTGTTAGACCGTCCAAAAACATCTACCAACTTATCGTAACACTTTTCCATATGACAGACGATTGTTAGTCCTATAAATTCAAGTACTATGAAACAGTCCCAAAATATATTTGGCGTTGTATAAAGCTGATTTTGGAGTAGTGGAAGTTGAGGCAGAGGGAGGACTTACAGGCCGGCAATGACGACATTGAGCATAGTGGTGAACGAATCACCACCATTAGCGATGTTCTTATGGACGACGATGCTAGTGTACCAAACGAGCAAGGACCAAGAGAGGAAGAGAACAAAATGCAGAGTGCCAAGGCCCAAGCCTTTGGCCAGACCGGCTTTCTTGCCATATTTGTACGTGTTCGACAAGGCTGCAATGTAAGAATTCACCGCTTTCTCTTCTCCAGAAAACGCTTGCACTGTCCGTACATTCCCAATCACCTGCCAATCAATTAGCAATCAATACTAACTCGAATACTGCTGGGCCAATAAAGATTTCCGTACCTCTTCAGCGATTTCACCGGCCTTGACGTAAGATTTTCGGACTCGCACGATGAGGCCGGTGGCGACGTAAGCATAGACGCCACCTGCAATTGCAATGGCAGGTACAATTGACAAAGTCACCAAACTTATCTGCCAAACTCTAACGAACCCAATTATGAATCCTGATAAGAATCTGCTGATGTAGTGCATGAAGTTCCCCACCTGCACCCATCAATTTATCAATTTTCTTTTAATTGATTATTTTCTAAAATAATTTCCTTTTTTTTTTCTTCCTCATTTTGCAACGTCTTATATTGGGTACATTAATTTGTACAAAAAGGGTAAATTGTTTTATTTATTTATTTATAACTAATAAAAAAAATAGAGATATATTTAGAGTAATAAAAGAAATGGGTAATGAGGTAAGGTGCATGGGCAATTAGAGAAGTAGGTACAACTCCGGCCTGCCCAACAAAATTACATCATTAATTACAAACCGCCCCCCAATAAATGTGGCATTTATAATATCACCCCCAACAATATTCTCTTCCCACAGTATTAACACCGCCTTTCGTAATTTCTTTTATTATTTTTTAAATTGAAATATATAATATTTATATATGACAAATACAACAAATAAACTTATACATCTTTATAACATTTGAGAAGGTTTGAACCCCTGACCTCATAAAAGACAATGACTACGATACCGTTAGATCAAGGGTCTTTGGGTAGTAATTTTATGTTTTGATGGTTTCATATTATAAATTCCTTATATATAAATATTTACATATTATATATATTACTTGTAGTAAAACGTAATTTTACATGTTTAATTAGGTTAGGAATGTGTCATTGTATGTAAAATTTCCAATTAAATATATGAATTGAAAGAATATACAACCAAAAAGGGTGGTTGAATATTAATTTGCGCACCTACTTCTTACTAAATTTATTATGTAACCAAGCTAAAGTCGATCCCTTTTCCCCACTTAAATACATAATAATATAAAATTATTTACAAATAAATTCGATACATGATTTTTTCCATCAAATGTTAAAATTTAAGATATTATTTCGCATATATTGTTTCATAATGTGATAGTTTCACATGTATTTGTTTTATCAGGTGAATATTTTTTAAGTGTATTTTTTTCATTTTACTAAATGAACAAAAAAAAGTTTCACATGTAATATTTTCATAAACATTATCTCAAATCATAACTTCTAATAAAAAAAATCATGTAAAAAATATGGTCATTTATTTCTATGTATATCCATCATATCTGCAAAAACAAAAAAAAACAAAAAATGGAAATTAATCGACCCTCGATTATTGTCTTAATTATACAACACTTTATCGCAAGAAACGACACTATTAATTTCCTTTCTTTGAAAAGATAACGCGATTAGATATTGATTCGATATTAATAAACTGTGGCTGTTTTTATAAAATAAATTTTGATAAATGTAATATAAATTAATTACCTTCTCAGAAATGGCATCTTGAACGACGATTATATCACTCGTAATTGCAGAAATAACTTCTCCAGTTGAAGCTTCAGTGTCAAAAAGACTGATATCTTGGCTTAACATCGACCTCAAATAAGCCATTCTCATCTTTGCTGCTTGCCTTTCTCCACTATGCATCCAACAAGCCACCTCTACATATACATATACATATATATCAGATTATATAACTAAAATTGAACTTAAAGCTCAATAAAAATTCAACCAATAACAATTATAAAAACTTACCAATCCAAGAAGAAAACAGTATGACCACACTTAGGTACACAAAATCCAATGAATACTGCCAAAAAAATAGGGCCAAAATGTTATTATTTTCATTGAAAATAAACCATTTCCTTCAATTTCAATGTATTTTTATAAATTATATATATATATATATAATTAAATGGTTAATTAGATTACCTTGGCAACTTTATGAGAAGCTTCTTTGGGAAAAAGATAAGCGAGTCCGATGATGTTGATCAACTTGCCGAAAAAGATAAAGAAAACCGGCACCGATGCACCGTGAATGCATGCTCCGACGGACCCAAGAAACATAAGGAGGTAATCATATGAATCGGCGAATGCAAACAGTTTTAGCATCGAAACTTTTTTGGGTTTGGGGGTTTGTGAAGGTTTTTTCTGATCATCTTTGGTGTCGCCACCGCCACCGCCACCGCCGTCGACGGAGACCGAGGCTGAGGCTGTGTTGCTCATTATGTTTGTTTGCTTAGCAGAAGAGGAGGAGGAGAGGGGGTTAATGAAGGAAAATGCAGGCGGTGGGCTGTGAAGAAATGGGTTCGGTGGTTTAAGGCCATTTAATGCAAAGCGAAAGTAAACCAGCTAGCCAGAGTGTGTTGACTCATGACATCGGGTATTTATGGGATCCATCATCCATCATCCATCATCCATCATCATGCATATATGCATATGAAGAGAAAATATAGGTTACAACTTAACCCATTTAATGTATCAATATAAACCAAATTTATTAAAAGTGTTAGAAATAATTTTTAATTCATAAAGTATTATATATTTATGCACAAAATCTTTAAAATAACTCATAATGCATTAAATACTACTACTATTATTTCATGCATTCGGTCTTAAAATTTTTAATCTATAATTAAAATAATATATAGCACAAATTACCAATGCACATTATTATTTTTCTTTTCATGTTTCCAATGTACTTTTGACGTCTTTCACTCATGTTTTCACTCTCTCATACCTCTATGTCTTCTTCTCATCCCCCAAGATGAGATTCAAACTGATATTCACCATAAGTTATTAAAAGTTCTTCCATTCATCTCTCATTCAATTGCTCTATAACTCTCCGTCTCGCTCTTGATCTCTTGATTCTTTGCTCTTGGTGTAAATCGAACACATTTGTGGAATCGTTTAAATATGTTGGATTTTAAACTATCATACAATTTTTTTTCATCGATAGACTGTAATAGAAACCATAACTCTTATTTATTTAAATTGTATTAATATGTAAAGATCAAGTGTAAGTTATATTATCGTTAAATCTTCTCCAATAAAACTAATAAAACTTTAAAATCGTTAAAATTCACGGCTCCCAACTAGTATAGTAATATTTATAGCATCCATGGTATAGGTTTTTGTTGAGGTTTTTCTTTGATGGTTTTATAAAAATAAAGATAAGACAAATATTCTTGTTCAGTCACAAGTTTTTATTAGAACCCAATTGCAGAAACAACTCAAGTTCTTGTATATATTCATTTTCTGTTATTATATAATTTATTATTCTTATCATTTGTTAACTATTTTATTTTCTTTTAATAAATTCATAAAACACATAAGTTAAAATACAAAAATATAAATTAATTATTGTAAAATAATTTTTATAATTTTGTTTTATCTTTTATTATTTTTAAAATTTTATATAATCTTTTTGTATTAATAAGCTTAATTTTTTATTAATGATCTCATTGTATTATTATATTTAGATTATTTTTTATATGCTATTAAATTTACATTAATAAGTTCAAATTAAAATCAATAAATTGTATTTAATTTTTTTATAATATATATTAAATTATAATAATCTATAAAGAAAATTATATTTTACTCACTATGCACTTATCTGATGACTTACCTTAACAGATGAACATGACAAATACCGAAAATCTTACCTAGTAAGAATGATGACAAGAAACGAGTTTTACTCGATGGGTTGAAAACGATAACACGTATGCTCATTAGTTTACAAGACATTTTTAACAAACGTGTGATTAAAGTTTTCGTCATTTAAACCCACACATGAAAGATGGTATCACTCATGCTAAATGTGTGAAAGTTGTATTATTATTTCGTTTCACGAAGTTATGAACTTTGTTGTGTTTGGTACGTTGAAATCGACAATAGATCTATAAAACCGAAGGGATGTTTTCTGGTTATCATTTAAATGGAACTTATAATTAAGCATTTGAGTAAAGATCTCATTCTATAAGATACATTTGTTATTATTTTGGTTTTTTAGTAATTTAATTACAACTTATTAAGCGACATATATTGTTTATTAATGAATAATCATTTAAATTTTAAATTTACACTTTATTATTGTATGTGTATAAAGAGTATCTCTAACAGATTCTCTAAAATGAAGAAAATGAGGATTTTGGGCATTTTTTGCTCTAACAGATTCCTCAAAACATTCTCCAAGATAGAGAAAAAGTAGAGGGAAAGGTGTAAAAATCTCCAAATTTAGAGAAATCCCAAAAAAATGATTACTATGAGAGAGAATCTTTTTATTATACCAAAAAATCTTTGGCCTATTGGTATCGTAGTCTTTTGTCTCCTAGAAAGTCAGGGGTTCAAACCTCACCAAAAATGAAGAGGGTGTGAGTTTATTTGTTGCATTTGCCGTATATACATATTATATACTTAAAAAACATCTTTTAATTATGTTATACTAATAAGAAATCTTGAATTAAATGTTTAGGTCTATTGAAATTGAATGTAATATTTTTTTGAAGATTCTGAATTTTGATTCTCTATTTTTGAAAATTTTGAAAAGTTCTAAATTCTTCGACCTTCATGTTTGACTTTTATAAGAAATCTTCAATAACTTCTCTAAAATGAAGAAAATAAGGATTTTGAGTCTATATTTTACTACAACAATTTCTTTAAAATTATCTCCAAAATGAAGAAAGTAGGAGAGGAAGAGTTTTTTCTCCAAATATGGAGATCATCCAAAAAATGATTACCAAGTGAGAGCATCAATAAAAAATATTAAAAATAAATATTCAGAGAAAGAAAAATATTCTAATTGATGAATAAAATATTTTAATTGGAGAATTTATAGGAGATGAATATGATTTTTTTTTTTTTTTGAAAATTTTGATTTTTGATTTTCAATTTTAAATTTTAAAGAATCTCTTGAAGATCATCTAAACCAATAAAAAGTCCCCAATGATTTTTCTATAAAATATACCAACCAATTTTTTTGCAACTTTCAAGATTCTTGTTTTAGGGGCTATTTGTCAGTTGTTGAATAGTTTTGTGCAGAATGATTAAGTCGTCGGAATGACTAAGAGGCTTTCGTGATATCGTGCAAAATCAAATATAATTGTTTATAATGAAATTAGGACGCTGAATTGTTAAAGAAGACTCATAATACAAAATTATTGAGAGCGTTTTAGAATCATTAAGAGACAAAAAGAAAACTTATCAAACAAAATTCACCTCTTAATGATTCATAGACTACCTCCTAATGTAATTATTAAGAATTGTGATTATTTCCGCCATATTTTATTAAATTCATAGTCAATTGAGTTAAAAGAATTAGTATTATATTGTCGTTTAATTCAATTAGAGTAAACTACGACTTTAGTCCCTATAATTTGTGAAAGATTGTAATTTTTGTTTTTATATTTTTAAAATTATGATTTTCATCCCCATGATTTATAATTTATTGTTATTTTTGTCCCTATGGTTTGTAATTTATCATAATTTTAGTTTTTTTTATTTGACATTTTAGTATTTTCGATTTAATAAAACTATATAGTTTTTGATAAAATGATTATTACATTCAAAGGTTATATTATTTTGTTATCGTTTATAATTAAAAAAAACATTTTTATACCTTTCATTTCTTTTTATATTTTTGGTTATTACAGTTTTAGTTTTTTATGGGTTTGATTTCTGTCACTAACGACATTCAAATTACATTTTCTTATACATCTTTTCAGTTTATATTTAAAAAAGATGTGTTTATATGACATTTTTAAAAATGTCATATAAAAAAATTAATCAGACACTTTATTTTAAGAATTGTAGAAGACATCTAAAAACATTATATATAAACTTATTGCAACATCTTTATATAAGACATATATTTGTTTGGTATAATTAAAACACTTATATATATATATATATATATATATATATATATAGGGTATATTTCTTTTACAACCCTCCCTATTTATACAACCCATGCAACCTCCCTCTCAACCAATCAATGAATTTTGTTTGTTTTAATTTATTTTTTAAATGAAAAAGGTTAATATTGTCATTTGCTAATTTTATATAATAATTATTATTTTTAAATAATATCAATAAATATCCTATTAATTATGAATCCATATATTTTCTATTAATAACTGAAACTGATATGGTAATTAAAACATTACTAAATAATAATTTTCTATTAACAATAATGATGAATCGATGGAAGCATTTTTTAGAATAATATTTCATCATAATCCTATGGATCTCATCTCTTTCAACGAGACATTCGTCAARGATATTTTTGATGAAATGGATGGCATTAACGGTAAACGTAACGGTACTAATGATGGTACAACACAAGATAAATGCAATTACTCAGCTAGGGATGATGATGGGTGCATTCGTCAAAATGAAACAATACCTGAGCATAGTGACTCGATTACGGACGGAGTTTCTGCTGAGTTTGACGATGATGATGTTCCGTCTTTGAGTAATGAAAATGAGGGTACTGTTTTGTTATAGTAAGTGGTGCAAGATATGTAAATCTGTAATGAAACTCGAAAGATGATGTGGTGTCAAAAATCTGTTTTGTTAKARTAATCAAATGCAGATTATTCATAAGGATTAATGTAAATCTGTAATGAAACCCGAAAGACGATGTATGTTTCTTATTCATAATGCAGATTATTAAAAAATCTGCAAGATATGTTTTGTTATGGTTAATTGTGTATTTGATTGCACAAAGATGCGTCTGGAAGAACTTCTTCATAACCTGCATAATACAGAACAATGAAACCAKATTCATCACGTATTTGGTTATGGAATAAGTTGTTCATAATCTGCATAAACCTGGAAGATGAAACTAGATGCATCACGTAAATTCATATGGAAGAAGTTGTTCATAATCTGCATAAACAAGATTTGATGAAACCAGATGCATCACGTAAATTCATATGGAAGAAGTTGTTTATAATCTGCATAAACAAGATTTGATGAAACCAGATGCATCACGTAAATTCATATGTAATACAACCGAGAGTGATTCTCGCGTTCGTAATTTCTTAGCATCCTTTCTTCGAATAGATGAAATCCCCAATTCCAATTTTACCCTTATTTGCCCTCAATATATGCAGCGCGTGTTTCCCAACTTCAATTTTATTACAATTATGCCATGAATTTAATCTGGATCATTGATTAAAAAATGAATGGTTTAGATTAAGGTTGCATAGGTTGTATGAATGGTAGAGGGTGTAT